TTGAGAATATAGTTCTCGGACATATATCATTTATTCCTGGCACCTTAAATCCTTCAGGAACTTTCATATATATGTCACTGTCAAGTGAACCATATAGGTAGGCAGTTACTACATCCATAAGGCGTATATCGAGCCCTTGTAACACGGTCAAACTAATTAAGAACTTAAAAGTGATGGTATCCATTACGGAAGAATATGTTTCCTCATAATCAAATCCCGGTCTTTGGGAGAAACCTTGAGCCACTAGTCGGGCTTTGTATCTTGTAATTTCATTATTCTCATTTCTCTTTCGTACAAAAACCCATTTGTATTCAACAGGGATTACATTTTCAGGTGTTCGAACTACTAGTCCAAACACTTTTCGTTTCTCCAAAGAATTCAATTCTGCCTGTATGGCTTTTTTCCATTTTGGCTAATCATTTCTATTTCAACAGTCATTAACAAACTGTGGTTCAGGATCCTCATTTTGCATAATATCAAGAGCCATGTTAAAGGCGAAAATATTGTCTATAACAATATTATTCCGTTCCCATAATTTATGAGATATCATATAATTTATTGAGATCTCATTATTTTTGGACACCTCTGGTTCTTCAGGAACTGTACATTCAATGTTTGATTGATCAATCTTTTCTAATGTGATTTCTTCTGAAGTTTTTGATTGATTTTTCTCCTGTACTCTTCTTTTTCGAGGTATTGAGTCTTTTCAACCAACTAGTCGACCACGCTTCTGGAGTATTTGAGATTTATTTGCCACAGCAGATTGTCCTGTTGGGAAATTAATTTTTGCTAAAATATTTTCTGCTGGAATATATGACTTTGTCACTTTTCTCGTGTCAACCAATACATCGGGTAGCTGAATTGCAACTCTTTGCAAATGAATGATTTTTTCAACCTCTTGTTCACATTGACTGCTGCGGGGATCAAAGTAAGATAGAGTTGTCTCATTCCAAGAAATTCTATCTTGTTTTTCAGGATGTAGTTTTTCTCCTCCCAAAGTTGGGAAAGTCATTCATCAAAATGACAATCTGCAAAACGTGCAGTAAATAAATCACTCGTTAAAGGTTCAAGATATCTAATAATAGATGGTGAATCAAAATCCACATAAATCCCAAGTTTTCGTTGGGGACCCAGTTTAGAACGTTGTGGGGGTGAAATAGGAATTTGAACAGCACAACCAAAAACCCGTAGGTAAGAAATATTAGGTTCATGACCAAATGTAAGTTGCAAAGGTGAATATTGATGATAGGCAGTTGGTCTTATACGAACCAATGATGCAACATGTAATATGGCATGACCCCAAACAGAAGTTGGAAGTTTTGTTTTCATAAGTAATGGTCTAGCAATAAATTGTAGACGTTTAATAAACGATTCCGCTAAACCATTTTGTGTATGAACATGTGCAACTGAACGTTCAATTTCAATCCCAATCGACATACAATAATCATCAAATGCTTGTGATCTAAATTCACCAGCATTGTCAAGACGAATAGTCTTGATTGGGTAATCGGGGAATCGTGCTAGCAATTTTATGATTTGAGCAAGTAGTCTAGAAAATTCTACATTTCTAGTTCAAAGTAGGCAAACATGTGACCATCTTATAGAAAAATCAATTAATACCATAAAGTAATGAAATGGTCCACATGGTGGGTGTATTGGCCCACATAAATCTCCATGTATTCGTTTCAAGAAAGTTGGAGATTCAATATTGACCTTTGTAGTTGAAGGTTTAATGACTAACTGTCTTGCGAACAAGCTACACATGGATAATCATTAAATAAAAGAATCTTCTGGCTCTTTAAAGGATGTCCATGTGAATTGTTTATTATTCGACGCATCATTATGGGTCCTGGATGTCCAAGTTGATCATGCCAAAGTATAAAACTTTTTGAATCAACGAACTTCTGGTTGGTAACATTATTTGATTCGACCATTTTTATAAATGTAAAATACATGCCAGACGGGAGTACGTGAAATTTTTCTTTTATTTGCTTCTTGCCAGATATAAAAGAAGTGATGCAAAGATATTCAACATTATTTTCTTATATCGTCTCAATGTGATATTCATTGTAGCGAATATCTTTAAAACTAAACAAATTTCTTCTGAATTTGCTAGAATAAAGTGCATCATCAATATATAATTTTGTATTATTTGATAAAATAATACAAGCTCTTCCGGAGCCTTCAACGATGTTCGACGCACCCGATATCGTGTTAACATTATTTTCAGCTAATATTAAGTCCAAAAAATATTTTTTGTCTTGAAGAATAGTATGTGTAGTTGCACTATCAATTAAGCAACTGTCTTGACTATCCATCATGAATATATAAATATAACAAAATAGACTAAATTTAAAAAAAAAACTTGAATTTAAATTTAAAGAAGTAAACATTACTTAATATCATGAAATAAATGGTGCATAATAGAGTTTTATTTTTGTGCGAAAAAGTAAATATATTTCAGACTGAATTTTTAAAACGAAAGAAATACTAGTAAATTAATCTATATCTTCTATCACACCACCCCCAATCAAATGGTCAATATTTCCATTTGGATCAGTAAAGAAATCAGAGACATCCAAATGAGTCACATCAATTAGACCATCATAATCAACAAAATTAATCTCCAATTTTTCTTTTCCCTTGATTGATCTCTGGTAGAGATCCACAAGATGTTTTGAGGTACGATACGTACGTGCCCAATGCCCTTTCATTCCACATCTGAAGCAACTTTCTTCATGCTCTTTTTTAAATTTGTCACTCTCATTTATTTTGTGCCTTTTGAATTTATTGCCTTGCTGTTGATAACTTTGTGGATTATTTCTTTCATGATTTATTCCACGTACACGTCCGTGTCCGTGTCCACGTCCACGTCCTTGTCTTGATATTGTATTTGTTTCAGACAATGTAGTACCATTTGCTTCAGACAATGGTACAGAACCAGTTGGACGTAATCCATAATTTTTCATCAACAATTCATTATTTTGTTTAGCGACTAGTAGGCAAGATATAAGTTTTGAGTACTTTTTGAAGCCACGCTCACGATATTGCTGCTGTAGGAGCACATTCGAGGCATGAAAGGTGGAGAAAGTTTTTTCCAACATATCTTCATCGGTGATTTTTTTTTCACACAAAGTCAACTTTGAATATATTCTAAACAATTCAGAATTGTACTCACTAACCGTTTTGAAGTCTTGCAAATGAAGATGCATCCACTCATAACGGGCTTTGGGGAGGACTATAGTCCTCTGATGATCAAATCTTTTAGTTAACTTTTTCCAAAGGACTTGTGGATATTTCTCAGTGAGATATTCAATTTTTAATTCATCGTGAAGATGGTGACGGAGAAAAATGAGTGTTTTTGCACGATCCTGCAGGGATTCATTGTTTCCTTCTTACAGACCCTTTGAGACGAGATGGATATCCGCATCCAGTATCCATGACAGATAATTTTTACCAGATATGTCAAGAGTAAACTCAAGTTTCGTAATGTTTACCATTTGTTTAACTACACAATAAAAAAATACAATTAGTTTCAAAGAATATGATTAATCATCACATGTTAATCAAATAGTTAATATCAACATGACTTTAAGTTACGTGTTTTCCTCTAGGGATAAACACTAATTTGAAATAATATGTTCTTCAAAACATATGCTACTTCTGGAGCACATTATATTTTGCTATTATTTTTTCAAGTGCGATATGTCAATATTCTTCTGGAATATTGAGAATTATAATTTATGCTCTTCAGGAGCAAATAATATTCTTATAATGTTGTGCTACTTCTGGAGTAACAACGAATAAATCTATGATTAATATTCTTTTGGAATATTAATTATAATGTTGTGCTACTTCAGGAGCAACAACAATTAAAAGTAAATTTAATGTAATGTTTCATAACTAAACATAAAAAAATGATAGTACATCCAATTGCTCACCATTAATTAATATACAAACACGTGTAAAATATTATTTTGAATTAATAACGTGAGTCGAGTGAAACACAAAAAAAAATTGGTGACATGTAGAAACCTATTCACATATTATGGCACGAAATTCTAATTATGTGCAATTAAAAGAATTAAATTAGTATTAATCAATTAAGGCATGAAATTTGCAAAAAGCAATATATTTGAGAGAAAAGATGAATTGGGTATAGTTATTTGTTAATTGTATATATATATATATATATATATATGGAATCAGCCAAAATAGAGATCTGGAATTGAAGCTTGCTTTCAAAAAATATTGACCAATTAAACAAAAAAAATTATAAGCATGTGTAGAACGTAAAGGGCTAATCTAAATAAAAGGAGGGTACAAGAATATGAATTAATGCATATCAATTGATTTCACATAAATATATCTCCATAAAAATCCACGTGGATTGATGTAAAGGAAAAAAACATTAATTAATTCAAAGAGAGGTACAAAGAAAATATAATGATCGAGAAAAATGAGATCACGTATTGCAAATTCAACATATGTATATGTAAAATTCACATATTATCAAATTAATTTTGATATACGTGATAGATGATTATAAAAAAAATTACTACCTTTTAAGAGTTTAGTGCTGATAACGTGTTATAAAATAAGAGGAAAAGAGAATAGAGAAAACTCAATAAATTTTTTGTGTATATTATTGAAAACCAAAGCTCTATATTTATAGGTAAGAATCAGGGATACAATGGTAATAATTTTTAGGGCTACAAGGGTACAAATGTCATTCACCAATAAACTTTAATGGACTTTTTATTTACAACAATTTTAAGTAAATTCATTTATATATATATATATATAATGTTTGAAAACTTTAATTCAAATATTATTTCAGTACACTAAATATTATAAAATATCATATATTTACGAGTCCCTAGAATCCTAAAAAACTTCACTCCACGTGTTTCGCGTTTTCCTGTCAATTTTAAAATACAAACACAGGACCTATTAGATAATTCATGCATGCCTTCTTCATTGTCTTCGTCCACTCATAATCCCCTATAAATAGACGCATGATTCAGTCCGAGTCTCTTACAGCATTCAAGTTAAACTACTTAAAATTAAGTGCTCATTACATTCTGTAGCAATGGATTACCAAAACAGCCTTATGACTATCGGTGGCGCAAATGCACCGGCACTTCTAGATTATCCCGGCAGGGGTCAGGCCGGAAGATACAGCCAGGCCAAGATCCAGCGCTCTGATTTCCCCAAGGATTTTGTCTTTGGTTCTGCAACATCTGCTTATCAGGTGTGTATGTCACTAAAATCGCATTTAAAAATAAAAAAAGGCAACTTGGTTGTGTTTTGGTTGATTTTTTTTATTTATAATGTAATTCAGGTTGAAGGTGCTTGGGCCACTGGCGGTAAAGGCAAAAGCAACTGGGATATCTTCACACTGAAAACGCCAGGTCTCTTCTGTCTCCAGTCTTGATCATACATACATATATACACTAATATATTATTACGCTTTATATACACATACATATGTACTTTTGTGTTACATGTCAATTCTGAGCCTGTTGATTGGAGTGGCAGGTAAAATTGAAGGTGGTACTAATGGGTGTGTTGCTATCGATCAGTATAATATGTGGAAGGTAAATCCTTAATTGCATCGTTATAGCACAATTTTTAAGATAACTTAGAAGAAAATTCCTAGGTAGTGGAATAACATGTACTCATTTTCAATGTTGCAGGAAGATGTGGCTTTATTGAAGAAATTGGGCTTAGATTCTTATAGATTTTCAATTGCATGGACAAGAGTACTTCCAGGTATAAGAAAACATGAAAATGTGGCTTAATTCATGCATCATTTGTCAAAAAGGAAAATCAGATGAAATTTTTTCTAATTTTATTAATTTTCATTTATTTATACTTTAGGGGGAAGATTGTCTGCTGGCATAAACAAAGAAGGAATTAAATATTATAATGACCTTATAGACTCACTCCTTGCTGAAGGTTAATTAGACTCCACTCCAATTTTTTCTGCTTTCTTCTCAACAATTGTTGTTTGCTTCTTTTTATAAAGATAAAAATCTAACCTCTTCGATTCTTAAATTTACTTTTGTGCAGGCATTGAGCCTTGTGTGACTATCTTCCATTGGGATGTTCCCCAATGTTTGGAAGAAGAGTATGGTGGATTCCTAAGCCCGCGAATTGTGTAAGTAACCAAATCTGTCACAACATGACACCTTTTCTCTAGATATTTGGAAAAGCATATTTATAAGAAAATGACGCAAAATCAAAAGAGATTAAGATATTTATAATTACTCCGGAAATAAAAAGCCCTTCGAATATTTGTATTATCATGTCAAGCTCTTTTATTTAAAATTGAATTTGCTCCAAAAAAAATTGTCATGTGAAAAACATTGTATATCTTATATGTATAGGAAAGATTTCTGCGAGTTTGCGGAGCTTTGCTTTTGGGAATTTGGTGATCGGGTGAAATATTGGATCACACAAAATGAACCATGGTCCTTTACTGTTCAAGGATATGCATTGGGTACTTTTCCACCTGGCCGTGGCCCAACTCAAGCAGAGCCTGTGAAGACTATCCGTCGTCATAGGTGTAAAATTGGGGCTCCAACCCATTGCTCCAATGGGAATCCGGGCACTGAACCATATATTGTAGCACACAATTTGATCCTTTCTCATGCAGCAGCAGTTGATATTTACAAGCAAAAATATCAGGTAACGTTTGCCATTTATAATGAATAAAATTAAATAAACTTTATACAATTTGAAAATTTCGTATTTAGTAGTTTATACAAACATATTTGTAGGTGTATCAAGGAGGCAAGATAGGAGTAACAAATGTCGCTGAGTGGTTTGAGCCACTCACTTGTACCATAGAAGATAAAGAGGCTGCTTCAAGGGGCCTCGATTTTATGTTGGGATGGTAAGTGGTTTTGCGCAGTTTGACTTTTCGCAAGAATCTAATATACTTAATTTGTTCACATCATAATCAAGCCGTGACTGTTTTCAAGCTTATTTTGTTAGTTTTGATATTTTTAATTTATAATGTTTCAGTGAGTCGGTATTCTGCGTGAAGATACGAGATCGAATTTATTTTCTTTGTTCTCATGCTTTCCGACAGCACCACTTCCACTCATTTTCTGGCATTCTAGTTCCAATTTTTTATTGGCCTTTCAAAAATTCCTAAAGAATAACCTGTATTTTCAAATTTATAGTTTGATCAGTATGTAAATACAAATATGTTCTCTTTTAATTTTGTGCTTAGATATTAAAAAAATTGTCTTTCCCCCATTTTTTCTGGTTTGTAGCACCAATAGTAACCGGTGATTACCCACCAGTTATGAGAAAACAAGTTGGAGATCGTCTTCCCACATTTACACCAGCACAAGCAAAGTTGGTGAAAGGATCATATGATTTTTTAGGCATAAATTATTACACTAGTACTTATGCTAGCAATTCACCTAGGAAACCTGGTACACCCATAAGTTATGAAAATGATAAGGAAATTGCAGAATCACGTAAGTATATGGACCTTGTTCTTTTGTAATTGTAAATTTATCAAATTTATCTTATCACATGGCGCTCTCTCTTTTAACATTTTTTAGATGAACGTGATGGGATGCCTATTGGTCCAAAGGTAAGCTTTCTAACTGGAACTTTTTAGAAAGAAAATAGATGGGATATGTTAGAGCAATTTCAACATTATATGTTAGTTGATTATCGTGTTTTAAACCCACAATGGATTCAATTAATAGAGTATTATTATTTTTTGTTGATGTTAGGGCGGTTCGGATTGGTTGTACATTGTTCCCTATGGGATTTATAAGCTATTGGTTCAGATAAAGAAATCATATAATAATCCCATAATTTATATTACAGAGAATGGTAAATAGTTAAAATGTTTATTAACTTGTTTTTCTCTCTATAATAAGATAGAGAAATGCTAGATGTACATTATTTGATGTACACCATGGCCGACAACCCTCTAATAGAGGGTGGGGCTCGCGATTATTATAATTACCTGCCCCACCTTCTATTAGAGGGCTGTCAAATTAAGTGTACACTAATACACTTAGCATTTTTCATTAAGATAAGAGACTTTTTGTACTATTTACATTTTTAATGCGATTTATTGTATGACTTAATTTTGTAGGGGTGGATGAAGTGAACAATACTGCCCTAACATTTTCAGAAGCTCAATTTGATAAGACGAGGATTAAATATCACCAAGATCATCTCTTCTACGTTAAGAAAGCAATGGAGTAAGTCATCATACATATAATTATGTATCCGAGGCCAATAAAAATCATAAATTATGCAATTATTTGGCTATTTTGTTCAAAAAAACACATGTTTATGGTTTTTCTTTCATTACAGTGAAGGCGTAGATGTGAAGGGTTACTATATATGGTCAATGTTTGATAATTTTGAATGGGGTGCGGGATATAGTGTTAGATTTGGCCTTTTTTACGTGGATTTCGTGAATGGCTATTTGACAAGATTTCCAAAAGCTTCTGCTATATGGTTGATGAATTTCCTGAACAAAAAGCGAAATACATTGAAAAGACAAGCTCAAGAAAATGAAGAAGAGTATGGATCTGTGAAAAGGCTAAGGAGCGACGTTTAAAATTTGTGTGGTGTGGTCCAGTTTCATTTGAATTGTTTTGTCGAATGCTGCATACATGAGTTTTCCTTCCCGTTTTTCCTTCATGTTGTGGTCTTTCCTGTTTCAACTTTCTTCTTTTTATATTTAATAAATGGAATTCTCGTCTTTTTATTTTTTAAACGAATCATGTATCCACGGATTATTCATTAGTTCTCGCATAAATGAAGAAGAAAATACAGAAAAATTGAAAGAGGACATGTGATGTGACATCTAGCCAATTGACAAAATAGATTAAGTCTAATTTAACCACTCTAAACCGATTAGGAGTTTATATATATATATTTCCACTTTATAATTTATGTGCCCTCATCCATCGTAGAAAATATTTTCTAAACTTATGATTACTTTCATTGTGGCAATATTCTTCAAAATATGCCGTGGATATCCCATACATCTTTATACTCTCCTTCGTACAATAATAATATAAACATATAAAACTTCTCTAAATGTAGATATTCATGTCGCATATACAACTCCTCTAAATTTTCTTTCCGCGTGTTGCTCACATCCTATTGAATAGATGTACAGCTACATTTTCATCTCCTTGTTTCCTAGGTTGAAGTTCAATCAAATGAAAGATTTATGTGTGCTCCACTTTTCTCGTCTTCTTTTTTCCCTCTAAGTAGACATCGAGTAGATTCTTAAGATTCCTGAGAAATTAATGTGATTAGAATGATAACAAAGTAGTTAAATTTTATTTTATTTAGTTGTCACATTCGAATTTTATTATATTTTTTAACATAATCATTCATTAATTTTTGTCCTCAATTGATGCTTCATGCAACAGATAAATATTATTAAGATCCAAACTGAGGCCCTCACAGAACTGATTTTTTATTGGTCTCATTTTGACGCATGTTAAATATAGAGCCATTTCAGGTTCCAATGTGATAAAATTATTTCTTTCAACAATAAAAGTGTTTGACGCAAATTTTGTTAGGAAACTATAAAAGGTTCTACCGATCAACATAATTAAAGTGCTTACAGAATTCGACTAGTACAATATATTTAAAGTCATAATTTGTCCATCATTGTATAGGGTGAGTAAAAGATGAAATTTAGTTGAAAACTGACAATTGGATTGCTGATCCAACAAGAAATTAATTTATTTAAGCAATTTGTGAGAGCATGAGTCTCGGAACCAGTGAGGAGCGGGCATAGTGGTGGCCTGGGGTCACGTGACCCTCCAGACTTTTGGACAAATTTCTTTATTTATTGTTATTTTTTTTGTCTTAATTTTTGAAGTTGTTATGGGTTGTCAAATAAAATCGAAATATTATATTCTTAATACCATTTAGAAGTGGTTACAGCTTAATTTTTTATGTCATTAATGGGCGCAAAATGGCCAACTATAGCAAATGTTAAGGCTTGCTAAAGTAGGCCACCTCAAACTAGCATTTCCAGAATTTCGATAACATGTTAATTTTAAAAAAATTTCAACGAACATTCCTAGCCGAATCCACAAATCGTCTACGTCATCTTGAAACTTGTTTCGATAACTATATCATAAACATATTGAATAGTCCAAACAGATGTCGTAAATAAATAAATGTGCGTCAAAAGTGACACTTAAAAAGAAACGTCTAACTCGTCTTTTTCTTTAAAAAATTTTCAATTATTTAATTAACATTGATTTTTTGTGTGACAAAAGATTATACATTATGTCGTACTGTCATAAGCTGGAAATCTTAATTACAAAAGATTGTTGCTTTGTCAACAACTGAAGCTGAATATGTCTCTATCACTGATGCTATAAAAGAAGGAATGTGGTTAACTGGGTTGCTGTCTAAACTTGGTTTTGTTGATACTCAAACAGTTTTGTTTTCAGATAATCAAAGTGCTATTCACCTTCTGTTTCATGATTAAATAAAACACATTGATGTTAAATAACATTTTATTAGAGATGTAATCTCTAAGGGAATAATAAAATTTTGAAAAATTTCAAGTCAAATTAACCCATCTGATACGGGCACAAATGTGATTCGTTTGACTAAATTTCTGAATTGCCTTAAATTCATGTCTATTGATTCTTTGTAATTCTCCTTCAGGTACTTAGAGCAAATGGAAAATGAAATGTGAGATTGCTCTTGGTTGTACTAACAGTCCAAATTTTAATAGCAATGTAGAGATTGTTGGAGTCGAACCCTAGTTCTCTCACTTTGGTTCCTTCAAAATTTTGATTTGGTTGAATTGTGTTTTGTGAAACACGCTATTATTAGTTAAACACCTTATATGGATGGCTGACATGTGTGGTGCTCCTAGTCGTTGGATGATAAGGATCTAGAATGATTGTTGCCTTACCCGTGACAGTTAATTTCGACTTGGACTTTTGGTTTTTCTTATTAGTCTCATTCATTTCTCTGGCTCTCAGGGTTCTTGAGAGAGAGGGGAAAAAGGGGGGGGGGGGGGGGGGGGGGGGGGAGGTTTTTTTTATTCACATGAGTCCCACTCTCAGTGCGAGGGTAGATTTTGTCTTCATGTTTTCTACTTAAATTTTCTTATTTTAAGTTGAGAGTGATAGTGTAATCCTTCGATTGTGTAATATTCTATGTGATTCTGTTGTTGATTTTGGCCATGTTCGAAGGGGTTTTTGAAGATTTCTTAGTAGATCTTTTGAGTGCTATCACTGTATTTGAGAGATAAGTTCTTTTTCGAACTTTTGTAATGTTGTTGCCATTTTAGGCTGTTTTTAGTGCAACCAAGCATAATCCTTTCTTCGAATGCTCAAGGGGAATGTAGGTGTTCGAAGTGGTCAACGAATCTCCGAGGCTTCGGCTGCAATAATTTTTTGGTGTTTAACTTTAATTTTCTATAATTTATTTTTTATTTGGTCGATTTATTCTTGTTTCTTGATGCTTATATCTTGTGATCTTGCATTTTCAAATAATATTAAATTATCTCATATTAATGTTTCTTGTAAAAAAACGTAAAGAACATCAAATGAAAAAAAGAAAAGAAAAGAAAAATCTAAAAAAAAATATCATGTTTGCTTTAAATTCCAAAATGGTATAAAGTTACAATCTCAAATCAAAATAAATAGGAAATTCATTATAAGTTGCAAAACAATAAATTATATTGTAACGATGAAAACGAATCCATTTGTCCATTTAATAATGTTTGAAAAACTTTAAAGGTTTAGCTATTTTTTCAACGCATTGTTAATTAATTAAAATTTATTATATATTATTAAAGTAGTAGTTTTAAAAACGAAGAGAAGACGCAAAAGACCACATTTTAAAGAAAATATCACAATTCTTTAGCAATTGATTTTAAAAGAATAATGAAATAACTGAACAAACCTTATGTAAAATGTTAATAATTTAATGTGTGTTTTTGTGTGTGTGTGCATATGTGTGTTTGTATATATATTTTCCCTATAAAATATGTTTTTGGCTTAATCTCTTGTGACAAGGATCTGGACGTCCAGGGCCTATCACTCAAGAATAACTCATATGTTTTTCATAGTCAATGAGTAAAATACTATTTGTGAAATGAAAATTTGCAAGATTGTATTTTCTAAATTCCTTACGTTTCTTTTATTTTATTTTATTTTATTTTTTTATTCCCCTCCCAACAACTTGCTCCTAGTTAAGTGAGCCCCCACCTAACAAAATCATAGAGTTGTCTTATAATTTATTTTGTTAAAAAAAATGAAAAAATGTAACAAGATTGGATTAGGTCGGTATTGAGATCTATTACATTTTTTATTTGCCAGAGTTAGAGAACCAACCACTCGAGCTATAAAATGTCCTACCCCCCAAAAAAAATAATAATAAAAATTTGAAAGAAGATATTGAAGTTATTTGTACACATTATTCAATTCTAATTAGGGTTGTGGATAAATATGCTGTCAGATTTTTTAGCATTTGTTAATGTCCTAGGGTTACACGCAGATGCTGGGGTGATTCGTCAATCTTTATTAATCCAAGAAAGAAAGACTAAACATTTTGAGCGAAAAATATTATAATCCCAGATTTGAAACCTAAATTTTTTTATAAATAAGTAATAATAAACACCCACGAGTAAAAGACACGAGAATTATTGCATTTACAACGATAAAACAAAAATGGATCTAGATCTGCCTATTTTTGTTCAGTTTGTCCACGTAGTTTTCATATTTTCTAGAAAAATTATAAAGAGTATAATATTACGTAATTTTATTTCGTGTGCATTCTTTTCACTTCATATGAAATAAATTATAAATTAATTTAAATGCTTAATAAATCACGTAAATTCATATAAAGTAATTTAATTGTTTATTTAATTGAGATACTGCAAGAAAATACAAAAAATAAAAAAAAATACAGAAATAAAATTGTGCGACACAAAATATTAATAATACCTGGTCGCTAAAAAGCATTCCATTGTAAAAGTCTTCTGCGACCAACACAGTTGATCACTGAATCTATAACATTTAGCGATCAAAATTTGGTCGGTAAAGGTCTCAATTTGAAGTAAAAAATTGGTTGATTTTAAACCCTTTTCGACTAAACTATGGCTGATAAAAATTGTTACCATTTTTAACAAACAATATTTCGTCGGTGAAGGTATAACATTAGCGACCAAATATTTGTATCTAAAGAACAATTGGTAAAAAAATACCTTTCACGAATCAATCGTTTATCATTGATAGTGTATCTTCACTAACCAAAACATAGTTGTTGGAGTAACCAAACATTGGTCACTAGACTTTTAATGCAAATATTTTGATCAATGCTTCAGTTGGTTTCTATAACACATTAATTTTTAATTTTTTTTTATTAGTAAGTTCCTGTATAAGCCCCATTTTTCGAAAAATAAAAAATAAAATAAATTGGTCCATGTTTCCTCTTTTCGTTTGGATTGAGTACTTAGATATATCATTTAAGGTTCTTCAACTTTCTGAATGTATTCAACTTTAGTCATTTTTCATCCAAACTTGTACAATCCAGATTTTCTCCTAAATTAATCTTAAAATAAGCAAAATTAAGTATTAAACAATACAAGCACGCGCAAAAGCCCACTTTTGATGGCCAAGACTAGGGTAAAATTTACACTTATCACTTGCGCTGTGTAAGTGGCTACAAGTTTCTGCTGAATGAGTAACATTTTTATAGAAGTGGATAAGATTAGCCAAATTTTGTA